ATGCCCTAAATTTCTCGACGAATACTAAATTATTATTGGCATAGTACGTACTACTCAAGCAAAATTTAGCAGTATATGAACGAGTAGAGGTTTTAAAATTCTTAGTGGAGTCAAAATTTGATCATACGCATAAAAAGAAATTTTCAGCTTAGAACTTATCTACCGAAAAGCACTTAAATCTGTTTTTACTCTTGACCCTTTTTTGTTGTTGCTGAGATTGGTTAATAGCTTTGATGAATTCCAACCGATTTTAAGATTTAACCATGTTTTGATATTGAAATTTTTTCTGATTTTTTATATTCAAAATATTGAATGAAATTTTAGTATTTTTTCATGTAGATTCAAAGCTCTATTTCTTGATGATTATCTCTTTTCTTCATCTTTGGTTTATTTTGATGTTTCTATTTTTGGTTTATTTTGGTAGCTAGCTTTATCTTTCAGTTTCTATTGGGTGGTTTCCTTTGTGCTGCTGTTTTCTTTTATTTTTCTTTTCAAATGCTATGTGCTTCCTCTTTCTTCTGATGTGGTTCTTCCTTCTTTCTCTTTGTATACACCTAACCCAGTTTTCTTAGTTCATTTTAAAACTCAGAGTCACCAGTTTGTCTATTTATATGTCGTCTTATAATTTTTTTATTCGATCAAATTTTCGTCTTGGATGATATTAATGATTTGAAGAGGAGAAAAATTGAAGTGAATGATGTAGGACAACTAAACAAATAAGAGAATAAAGTGGACGGCTTAAATATGGGTAATACTCGTGTGATGTGTCGAGAGTATATGTCTGAACAATATCAGACCGAAGTGCCTCGAAACACAACATTCAAAAGAGAATCCTTACATAAGCCACCTGTAATCAAAGAACCAAAAAGAACATTTTTATTCTGGGATCAAGAGTCTCCCAGAGGAACGTATCCCTCTGGTTAATTACATCCTATGGAATACTCAAGAATACTCTCAATAAAAGGAGTATACAATAGGTCATCAAATGATGGTTAGCTCATATGGGACCGCCGCAATGCTTCCAAGTTCTCGCTAAGCCACCAGACGAAAAGTGAGTCTCTCACATCCCAAATAAGTAGCGGCCCGTCAACATCTGAACCTACGAAATAACAAAAATCATCTCAACAGGGATATCCTTATACGTCAGAGCTCATCAGACGATAAGGGCAAAGGGTGAATCACCGTATCCTGAACGGGCGGCAGCTCATCGATAATCGAGTTATCAAAATGATATCGACAAAGTGAAAGGAGTGCAAGGTTCAAGGTGCCTCAACAACAAGAAGGGTAGAATGAGCATATAAGGTTGAGGTTATCAAGTCGAGGTACCACAAACCCGTCTTCCCAAGCTACTAGGACCCTAATTATACGTGGTTGTGAAGGTAATCGATCCAACATGTCCAAAGATCCCTAGTCAACAATCGATGAATTATGTCGTCCTCGGGAACCTCAGTAGCCTTAAGGTCAAAAGAATGAAACTCTAGTCCAATGATCTACAAGGAGGAGCTTCAAGAGGTGGGACTTACATCTGTCGAAGTGGCAAGAATACCTCAAGAAAAAAATAAAAAAAGAGGTTCAACTACAAAGCTGTAGACACTCTCCACAAAAGGATTTACACCTCGACTGGGTTGGAGAGCCTTCTAACGATCTAAGCGCACGAGACAACCACCTAAGTAGAAATCTATGTTGGGTCAATCGGGTTGAAGAAACTCGGGGCTTCTCCTTAGGACATATAAATATGAATGCAGTTATCTAACATAATACTAAGCGTAGATGCACTATTATATGATTTAAGATATATTCATGCATGCATCCCATTTAAAATCCGTCTCAAATGCCATGCAGAAAAGTAAAAGTGCAAATTTTTAAGTTCTAAACATTTTAATCCTAAAATTTTCATTATATTGAATATTTTATTAGGATTGTTTAGCAAATGTAGAATTTTAAATCCTAAAGAGTCTATATTGCATTCGTGATTCCCAGATAAACCACAGAAATAAATAATAAAATTCATTTCAAGCATGCAATAATGCAGAAAAACAAGCCAAATACAATAATATGAAAAGTAAGTGACCCTGGGTCGGCAACATATCCTTGAAAATGAAAAGAAAAGTTGGACTCCGCATATACACACGAAGTTTTAATTTGATACTCTAATATCAAATGCAAAATTAAGATACGGGACAGGAACTGCTACTCTAGTCCCTTGCATGTGGTTTCTGTGTCAAATGTCTCGGAACCCATACCCTTATCTTATTTTTGCTACATGACTCCCCTAAGGACTCTAAAAAGTACATGTGTAAATAAAAGAAAAGACTCGACCTGCATGAAATAACGTTAGCGGAAAAGCCAACAAGCATGTAACGTATAATGAGTCATGTCTAGTGAAGGAGCTAAGCAACACCTGCAAGCAAAAGTTAGCATGTAAATTATTACATGCTCCCCCATAATGATACATGTGTGGGTGCATATATATATGCACGACTCCCTGCAAAAGAACGTCATAATATGCTACCATGCATATCAAGCATGCAAGAACACCAAAAAGAAAAAAAAAATGATGCATGGCTAGCATAAACACATCAACAAAGAACAATGGTCAGAGGCGTCGAAAAGACTACCTAGCTTCCTAAATTCTAGCCTGACACGCTATCTAACGAAAAGTGTCCTAACCAGCATCTAAGTGCACAAGATAAAGTATCTGACTATTGTATGACTTTGACTATGTCGGCGCACCGACCCCATCTTAAAGCTCCAAAGGATCTAAAGTACGTCACAAGAAATATGTGACATTTTAAAGGAGGTGGTCTCACATATGACCTAACATTTATGTAATTTTAAAATAGGTGGATAATAATTATACTAGCAAAAATATTTATTTTTATATTTGAAACCACTAATGACAGATCCAGTGCAATCAAACTGCATGCTTTAGAGTCATTGGATCTTTAGCACAGTAATATTATTTGTTGCTTGTGATACAAAAACTTGGGTTGCTTGTTGAGGTATCATCAAGGGCAATGCTCGTTTGAGTATCATGATCAACAAACGGGTCACTCTCTTAATGAGTAGGACAAACCATCATGGTGTATGAGCAATCATACAATCATGCAAGAAGCTCACATTGTGATGGTTCGGTCAAAGTACGAAACGATCACCACGGGCGTCCAAAAGGGCGAAATACACTTCATGTAAATGGATGCAAGGATGTTACATGCAACAAGACATACACGAACAAGATGTACCGGTCAAACAGGAATCCTGTGCAAAGGAATTACGTCTGCCCGGGACCATGGGCGCCATGCGACCATCAAACATCATCTACAGGTGAGTTTACATTGAGTAAAAAAGATATCTATGAAAAGAATTTACACCTTACCCAATAAATACTCACCGAGCACACATACAAACATGTAAGATATGCAACAAACATACAATAATAGTCAATCACATGACATACAGAGATGTCAAGCATTTGATATAGAAAAATATCAAGCATATGACATACAACTGGCAAGCATACAAGAACACTTCATGCCTAACAGATTAAGTGATGTGATCCTGAGCAATGGGAATCACACACTTAGGTGTATATGCATTATGCCTCGCACGAGTTCAATGACTAGAAAGCGTGACTCATACTAAACACTATGTGAAATATCTACGACGCTTTGGGCGGCGTTGTAGGGAGTGAGATAGATGGCCCAAGAGTGAGTCAACTCCTCAAAAATGTGCAGTTGTCCATCCTCGAGCATACAATGTCGTATTTGGGAGAAACACTTACAAATGTGGGTGCTCAAAGAGACAGCACAAGTGGGGGTGCTCAAAGAGACACCCCAAACATGGATGTTACTGAGACATATAAACGTGTCACATGCAAATCATACAGAGCAATAAACAATTTTACATGCAATGACATATTGTTGACATCAAGTCAAAATAAGAATTTCATATACATGCAAATAAACATGTGATATGATGCAAAAAGCATGCAAGTGATTGGTTGACCGGGCCATGGCGGTCGATCGAACCGAAGATGCTGGTTGATAACTCCGGGATGATTGATCGGACCCAAAGAATGGGTGATTGGCCCGAGGCGGCCAATCGACCCAAACCGAGTGATTGACGTCCGACGGTTGATTGAGAAGAGAAGTACTCGTCGCTAATGAAAGGAGGAGAAAATATTCAACTCACTTATTTTTTATTATAACTGTCTAAAGAGGGGGAGTTCCATAGAGACCATTCGAAATTTACTATTTACAAACCAATCATCCTCTATTATTCATTTATTAAATTCTCACTTAAATATCAAAATGCATGATAAAACTCCAACCTATTTTATCATTTTTTATCAAATTCCAATTAGTTTGATCATGGAATAAGTAATTAGATCTATCCGTTAATTCTAAAAAATCATCTAGGTTATTAATTTGTAAATGTTTATATTTCAGGTGGTCTTCATGTGATTATCTCTCTGGCACGCCCATATTTTTGACATTTTCTTGGTCAGTATAATTTTAAATTTATGACCGCATTGAAAAATGTCCTCCGATATATTAAAAAATAAAAATGACTCAGGAAAAGCTCTGAAATGTAGCAATGATTCGTAATTTCTCAACTCAAAATTTAATAATTTTATCGTCCTTATATTAATCAAATTACAAAAATTTAATTAACAACTTTCATAGTAAAGTTTTGGAAACATAATTTAAAATGAGGGTAAAGTAGTTTTGTACTGAAATTTGTCATAATTAAAATTTAATTTGATATGGTTTTAGGGGAATTACATGCAATTGCGCACCAAATATAATTTTTTGTAAGCTATCAGAATAATGTATTGCTTGGGTCAAGACCAAATCATTATAAGTTTTTAAAAATTTTTAAAAATATGAGTTGAATATTTATGCGTATTTTAATATTTGAATGGGAATTTAAAGAAATAGAGAGGTTAATCATGTCAATAACTAAAATTCGCTTGCTATAAATATAAATGTCTTATTTATAAAAAAAATTGAAATTAAACAATTGCAGCTGCGACTCAGATTTTAATTATTAAGAAAATATTACATACACTTGTCTGCACACGTGAATCAAGTTGCACACATAGGGTCCATTTGGGGCAGCTTATAAGTGCGGGCGGCGGTGTCGTACCGTTTGATTCGCGCGTTTCACCAGCTTATCTGAAACTGCGTTTGAGTTCTTACACTAAACACAGGTCGCTGGTCGACCCCTGTAGCCGGCCTGCGGGCCGCGTTTCAGGATAAACAACTTATTGTTTATCCTGAAACGCACAAGCTGCCCCAAACGGACCCATAATGTACACCCCCGTGTATACCCCAATCCGCACATACGATCATCGTAATATTTTTTATATACACCTAATAAAAGTTCCAAATTTGAATTTTGAAATTAAAAATCATAAAAGAACACAAAAATCTTTTTACAGCTAAATCCCTAAATTTCAGTCCCAAAAAAAAAAAGAGAAAAAAAATCTTGCAAAGAGCTGATGGTGACCATCAGATCTCCCAAATTCCAATCTTAAAGCTTCATTCGGAACAGAGAAGCGAATGACTCCCTAATTAGGCTCCCGTTGAGAAGGCATCCCCTTCCGTTCCATCGCACTCAAACTCATCGCCGGAGAAAGAGACGTTTCAGAAAGCTCCTGTGGAGTCAACGGGTCTTTTGAATGGCAAAGCTTCCTCAAACGGAGCCTTAAACTTCCAACCAACCGCACTCGCCGCCGTCCTCCCGCCGACGACGGCGTGACTTCGGCTCCGTGGAAAAATCAAACTTCCACCAACTCTAACATCGCCGGCGAACTCGTACGGCGCGTCCTCATCGATTCTCACGGCTGCGACGCTCTGGCTTCGCCGGACAGACCCCTCAGCGGCGGCGTCCGCGCGAGCACGACTCTGCGAGGCGGCGCGAATGAGCTCAATAAGGTCTTCATCGTGGGACGAATACGGTTGACTTTTGAGAGTGCCGCTTCGAGACATGCTTACCCCGGAGGTGGAGGGATAGCTAATCGGTACCATGGCGTCGCCGTAATGCATGCGACCGGCGCAGCCGGTCATGCTCCGGATGTACAGGTCGCGCACGCGGCAGAGGGCGCGGTAAGGGGCTCGAAAGCACCGGCTTAGAAGGTTGCCGGCGGCGCTGGACTGGGTTTTGCTCATCGCCGGTGAGATGTGAAAAGACGGAACTTTTGGAATTGGTTGAGAAAGGGAGGGTTTGGGAATAAGACGGAGAAGAAAGGATCTGAATTTATAGGGGGCGAGAAAGGTGGTGGAGAAAAAAAGGAAATTAGCGGTTTGCACGGGGAGGATGGCGTGTGCGTTTAAGCAGTTGGTGGGGATAGCTGTTTCGGCTCATATATATCTCTATTTTATGCAGCAAAGGCCAGGCTTTTTGCTATTTTACTTTCACTTGTTTGGCTTTTTTTTTACGGTAATTTATTAATGTAGAAAGAAAAAATTGTTTCAGATATATCTAGATATGCTTAGAAATTATTGAATTTATTAAAATTAGTGTTTGAAATAAAGATTTTATAATATATTTTCAATGAATATTAAACCAAAACTCATTTATTTATATAAGAATGCAATGTTTTTTTTTTTTTTTTTGCTGATTATAGTGCTTTGCTCCCTCTTATAGGCCCACGTGTATTCTTCTCATTGAATATTTCATAATGCTTCCCAAATAATGATCGTTATTCCGATCGTACAAATTATTAATTTATTATCTGTTGTTGGGCTTATGAATTTTGAATTAAACTAACTGTCTCTATTGCCCACTTGCCATATCTTAGCTTATTGTTATTTATGTAAAAATAGATAAAAGGTCGTTTACTAGGACGAAGGCAACCTATAAAATAGTAATATATGACATTTAAAGTTCTAAGAATATATTTAATTTTTATAGTTTTTTTTTAAATGAAACATGTAACTATTTTGCATATACAATACAAATTATTAGAAATAGTTGTCCATGTTTTGAAAAATTTGCACCAATAAAAATCATTGGGTGTTCATATGCCAGCATTGTCCCCTCGCACAATATCATGATTTTGTTTCTTCGACTATTGAGCTCTCATCCTCACAAAGCTAATCATATTATCATTAATCCCACTACCATTAGGTGCTTAATCATCTTCATTTATCTTCATTGTTTTCAGTGTTTGTAGTACAATTAAGAAAAATAAAATAAATCAAGATAATTTATTACTTTTTTGAATCCGAAATCGCTGAGAGATACACCAAAATAATAAAGCATAAAAGAAGAAAAAAAAATAGAGAGAGCACAATAGTGACTCTTCTTCATGAAATGAGCTCCCTATTTATAGCTAAGGGTATCATGGATTACAACTGTACCCATAGTAAAGTAGGTTCAGTAGGGGATACTTTAGATAGTATACATTTGTTAAACTAGGAGCCTAGTCCAGACGATTGTTGTTGTAGGGGTCAGCCAATAATTATTGACTGCATTTCAGGTTTGGGCAGTTTTTATTTGTCCATCTAATCCAAATTTGGAATCCCTTTGATCCAATCGTGCGAGAATCTAGTTTGGATATATTTCGTACGGGCCGCTAATTATCTCTTAATATGAGGTTTGGCTCTCACCCGGATGGTAAGAGCTCGATGATTGAAAGGTGAATCCTTTGGTGCAGTCACGTGCGTCGAGGGGTCAAAAGGTGGACCCTTGGATTTCTCCTTGTGTGTCCCTACTTGCGAAGTCCCTTCCCTTGCGGCCATTGGATATCTTCAAGATTCACACACAATTTTTTTGTGTGTACAAATATCAATTCTCAACCTTTCTTAGCTCTTCTCACTCCATCATCTTCACCGAAGGTGTAATATTTTAAGTCATGGCATCCAAATCACATCTCATCTATGTTGACTATTGTAGACCCCAACACCATCTCCAAAACCTCTCAAACTCATCACGAATACAAAGTCCAATTATAATCATCACCCCCACTCTCTTGTCTTTCTTTTAAGAACAATAACATTACAACAACAACTCCACCAACTCCTATAGCCTGATCATGTCCCAGATACCCAATATAAAAATCTAATAGCCTCTATAAAAGTTATTAGGGTATGAATAAGAATGAGTTGAGCCTCTTCTAATCTTAGTTTCAATGCTTTTATCTCCATCGCCTAGGTTTTAGTGATTTTTGTGAACTAAAATCCTCATTTATTATTATAAGGCATGCATGGGGTTGCCACTAAGTTGCTCTCATTGTGCCTCCCAATTGTTGAGCATTTAGTCACCATCCCCAATTTTATCTTACTTTAATGTCTTTGTGTCTAAATTGAAAAATATCAAGGACTGTGTAAACACTTTCTTATTTAAACGACAAACCGTCCAAACACAATATAGTTTTATGGGTTTGTTTCGTTTAAAAAATATATATATATATATATATATATATATATATATATAATTTTATCTTAAGCATTTAGCTCCAATAAAATTGATAGGTAATTAGATATATTTAAAAAATGTCAATGAGTATCTTTATATGAGGGAAAGTTATTTTTAGATTTATTTATATTCCTTTTATTTTATTTTAAGATAATTGAAGAGGCCTCTACCAGAGCTATACTGTCATTGCTGATGTGCAATTATTTACCTGCCTCAATTCTAGCCGTCTTTTTATTTTTTAAGTTTTGACGATTCTTTTATCTAAGTTTTTTTTGACCTTAGGTTACATATTGTAACTATTAATTTGAGCGTCATCAAAATAAATAATATAAATTTGATTTTTTTTCTTGGAAGAAAATACGTAAATTTTATTCACAATTTATTTATAAATTAAAAATGTTAGATGTCGGCCTTTAAGAGTGATGCGTGCACGAAAATTCGCGGCAGCTGAGTAATGTATTATCATCTTAGCGCGATACAAAAATTCAACACACACTGATAACAAAGAAAATAACCAATGAAGACACCATAAGTTTTTACGTGGAAAAATAGTGAAGAAAAAAAAATCACGGAGTCTGACCCATTTTAAGAGATTCACGATAAACTGAAAAATACAAGTACATCTCCTTGTCTCAAACAGTCAGGAAATAGCTACAAAGTCTCCCGACTTACAACTTGATGTGTTGATAAACTTGTAGCAAGGAATGAGCGGTGATCGATAGTGATTGACGGCGACCGGCAGGTGGTGGTTGACATTGGATTGTGGAGGTCGGCGGCGGTCAGCAGTGATCGACTGCAGTCAGCGGTAATCAACGGCAGCAGGAGTGATGTTATACTCCAGTTTCTTCTCAAAGCTTCAAGCTCTTCCTCGGGTCTCAAGCTCTCTTCTTTCCTCCTTCCTAATGAGAGAGGAGATGCTCTATTTATAAAGTTCTAGGTGCAGTTAATGAAGGAATACGAACCGCTTCGATTGGATGGTCTGAAGAACTTTCTTTGATAAGATGATATTTGATGGATATTTCAGTGTCTTAATAATGTTAGAATCGAGTGAACTTGAGCTCGTTTGATTCGTCTTGTCGAGACGCTCGATTCAACTATAAGCTTAACACATTCGACATTCAATTGACCTCCCAAATATGCTCAGAAACCTTCTAAAAATAGTTTAATGGTTTGATCTGAACTTAATTTGAAGTGAGTTTAATTTTGGTATCATCGGATCTGTTTAATCGAGCAGATCATTTTGCATATCAGTTTGCTAAAATTGGAGCTATAGATGACACTTAATTGAAGTTTGAATTTTTATTGTGTAAAAAATTGAATCAAAATCTTTGTTGAATGATAAATTGGTTAATAACGAATCAAACAACTTTCATTGCGTAGCAAGATATGGATGGCCATGATTTTATTGGACCGGAGGCCGCTCTACTTTCAAATGGCTTAAATTTTGACCATTTTTCATATTATTTCCAACATCTAACGGTTAATGAACTTCACTGTTGGAAGATTACTTACATTATACATATCATTTAATTCTATTTTTCTATATATTTAACATTTAAATTTTAATTTTAACATGTCCCATTATATATCTATATATATATAGATGGCACTTTCTATATTCCGTTGGCACGACATGTTGCAATTAACAGTTTTATTATCATTATTTCCTTAGCTGATGACATCACGTAATGTTTCAGCAAATTTAATCATGTAGAAAACCAAAAAAATTGATTTCCCTAACATGAAAAGTATTTTGTGATAAGCTTAGTCAATTTAATTTTGATGCCGCCCAAAGCAGCTAAAAAAAAAAAAAAAAAAGACATCACATATTTTTACTGAACCATGGTTAATTTCTAGCCTGGACATGAATGTTTCGTCAGTGCAGATTGAGGGCGTGTTTGGGACAACTGTCAGTGTGCATCGCACCACACTTTGTGGCATTTGACAATTTTTTTAAAAAATTTTTAATGAAAATTTGTGTTTTGAGACCTAAATGAGATGATTGTCACAAAACTATTGTCAACTTATTGCAATTAAGAAAATTTATAATAATCAACAATAAAATTTAAGAAAAAATTATAATAATCACCTATACTTTTTGAGCAACAATATCTTGTGCTGCCTCAACCGATCCTAAGAATGTCAAATTGAGGGCTCTATTCTACCTCAAAATTTGACCGTTCAAATTTGTATTGTTTATAAAATATATCGGATTGGTTTCTATAATATGTCAAAAATTTGGATCCTACCACCCGGACAAATGTACCAAATTTTGTCATAACTTTTGGAAAATAAAATTTATCCCTGTTTTCTTTTGAAAGCCATTTTTTTCTTTTTTTTCTTTTTTTTTTTCAAGTGGAACCGTTTTAGATTTGATACAAACTTTTATAGAGAATTGTTCACAACTTAATGTACTTTTCGGGCAAATATTTACAGACTAATTTTGCCTTTATTCTTAGTGGGATTTAAAATATAGAATTTTGAATTATATTGCATATCTCAAATCATTATCTCCTTTTTATTTCAACATTGCTTATATTTTGTTGATGTGTGACTGAATATTTACGATAATAGAGTGATTATTTATCATTTTAGCATTGCATAAAAATTCATCACACACACAGATAATTGAGGTGATAGATTGAGAGATCAAAAGTTTTTACGTGACAAATATGAAAAGAAAAACACAAAAAGGCTAGCCCAGCCAAAAAAATCTAGTATGAGTTGATGAGTATACGCACAAGCACTTGTCCCATAAGTGGGAAATGTTTTTATAGCTCCTATAAGTACAATGTTTACATGGAGAAAGGTTTGTTGAACAACTGTCAGGATCGGTTGCAATTATATGTAGTTGTTAAGATTCGGTGCACCGTTTTTAGGTGCATTGTTGCACGATGATCAGGATGATGC